TCTAGCTTAAAGCCTAGTTGAACTCTTTGTAACTGGATGTCCTTAAGTTTTGATTTTGTAAATCTGAGGCTCAGATTTTGGTTTGCTTGCATAGGTTCACAGTGTTTGAAAGTGGCAGGCTGAGGGGCAGAGCAGGGACCCTCTAAAGCAGGGGGTCAGGACAGGAGTCCTCCTACGTGGGGGGACGGCCTCCTTGGGGTAAAGTGAATCTTACTGTTCTAATTAGAGCAACTTTATTTACGAAGCAGCTGGGTTTCTCTTCGTTTCTCAGTCTCGTTGGCATTGGGGAAGTCCCCTCTTCCCAGATGACTTTAGTCACAGAGTGGTCTGCTCATCCTAAAAAAAGTGCCAGATGAAACTCAGTGGTAACCCAGAGAGTTTTGTTTTCCCAGCTGTGCTGACATCCAGCCCCCACCGTGCAAAGGCCAGCGACATCACCCTGCACCAGAAGAGAGGCGGGAGGGCTGAGGTCTGTGTCTGGAGGGGGACGTGCACTCTGGTGTCTTCATTAGCTGTTCCTCTTGCTGGGGGCCTGAAGAATCTTTTGCAGTGAAGGTATCGATAAAACAAAGTCCCCTGCTTGCTCTCTTGCTTTTTATTTCTTTTAGTAACATCTTTTATATTTCTGACTTCACAATTCATATCAATTTCCTGGGGAAAAAACTTGAAAAATAGAAGAAAAGAAATTTGAATCATCCCTGTTCCCACACTCCAATGGTAATCACTATTGATATTTTAGGCAATTTTCATTCCCATGTTCTGTTTCTTAACTGAAACTTGGTGGTGGAGAATTTGGAGAGAAAACCACAGTGTCCTTCTTCCCCTCAGGGGCACTGTGGGAGACAGTTACCTCACAGTGTCCCTCCTCCTTTCCTTTCCAACCTCCCTGTCCCTCCAAGATTTATCTTTGACCATTGAAGACCAGGCCCAGCTGGAAGGAAAGACGTGCAGGGATCACATTTCTGTCCTCCGGATGGGCTGCTGTTCTTAAAGAAGGTCTGCTCTTGACTTCAGTGCCCAGTCTTGTCTTTCCAGCCAGTGTGGGCGTGTGTATTAGTCAGGGTTTGAGGTGTGAATGCAACCTCAGAATCCTCGTGGCTTATCACAGCAGATAGTCCTCTCTCCTGGATCTGCAGGTCACCCGTCCGTGGCTCCAGTATGTGAGTCCCATCCAGGTAGTCCCACCTGTCTCTTACTGGACCCGCAACCACCTGTGACGCAGAACAAGTGGAAACATGCATCACCGCCCCTCATGTCCTCTCCTCACAAGGATGCACTGTCTCTTCCACCCACCTTCCATTGGCCAAAGCAAGTCACGCAGCCAAACTCAACATAAGGGGACAAGGACATGCGCTCCAGCCCTTCTAAGGACATGTCACTAGGTGGCCAGCACTGGTGTGTTCTGACTCAGGACAGAAAGAATTGGGAGTGATGGTCTGGTCTTGATCAGGGGTACCCCAGCTCTAGTCCAGGTAGTTGAGCATGGGTGGTCCAAATTCACCCAGTACTGAACCCCCTCTGACCTTTGTACATGTTTTTCCTCCTGCCCCAAATGCTCTCTGTGCTCCTTTTTCCCTGTCTCAATAGAGACATCTTCCAAGGCATAGTTCAAACTTTGACCTTCTCTGTACAGTCTTCCTTGATCATCTCGGCCCACAGTGGTTTCTTCCTCTCTGAAAACGTATAGAACGTGGCTCGTTTTTAATTTATGCAGCATCTTCTACAGCTCCCCCAGCTGTAGATACGTAGCCATCGACTTATGTATTTATGTTCTCGGTGTGATAAGATAAGATCCTTAAGAACAGGGCTATCTTACATGTAAAGGGTACTCACGAATATTTACTGATGGACTGAAAAGTATTGCTTGATTTACCCTTTATTCCCAAAAGGTGATATTAAAAATGTATTTGCTGGATTTTTTTTTCTCCTGTCCAGCTGCCCCCAAATCTTGCATGTGAGAAAAGAGGGCAGAAGCTGTAACTGAAAGTCTTATTTCCCATTTTAAAGTTCCCTATTGTTCAGCTCAGATTGTCCCCAGTCTCCACTTGCAACAGCTAATGAATTGACTTTTGAAATCAGCTGCTTGCTACAGAGCCACTCAGATTCTTACCCAAGAGCAATCAGTCCTTTCTAAAGATTGCCCCGTGTGACTTCCAGCCTGGTTTTCGTATTTCATTAAAACAAAAATGAAAACACAGTGTCGCACCATCACTTCGAAGGAGGTGGGAGGAAAGATAATAAGACACTGAAGAAAGGAGAGGGGTCTCAGAGAAGACGTGGGCTATGTCCTGACCCTTCAGAGTACACTCATAAAATGACACCCTTCGTTTATCTGTCCTTCAGAGGGTGACGCGTGCCCTCCCTTTTACAGAAGATGATGAAATGCACATGCTACAGTCTTCCGCAGTTCTCTGTCCATTCTGTCCACTCATACGTAATCAAAAATTTCCAGGACCCTAAAGCAAGGTCATCTCATTTTTTTTATTTATTGTAAAATGCACATAACATAGACTTTACCATTTTAATCATTTTTAAGTTTGTAGTTCAGTGGTGAGTCCATCCACACTATCATACTGGGCTCTCTCCTGTGGTGTTCAGAGCATCTTAATGCTGAGAAAAATTACTAAAAACTCAAAGCTCTGACACTCAATGGCCTTGGGCAAATCACTTTCTCCTTCTGTTTCCTTACCTGTGAAAGAGCAATCACACCTATGTTGTGGGATTCTTGTAAGGATGAAATGAAAAGCGGACCATTGAGGCCTTAACGTGGAGTCCTGACAGGTGGTGTATGTTATAGGTTATGGTTGGTCCTCAAGCCAAATGTGTAAAATTAGAATTGTTCCCAAGCCCTATAGAATAATCACAGTAATTCACAACACACTGTCCTTTCCCGGAAAGGATAACACGGAGAAGTTTAAGTCTTTAAAAACCTACTAAATGATAATGCAGTAAGAACTGTGGGAGGAACTGTAATTGACTTTTTTCCCCTATTTAAGTTAGCACATCACCATGTTTATGCATTCTATTTGTAGGAGAGCTCCTAATTCTGCAAATTGTATTTGCCTGCAGTTTGCTTCCTCTTTGTCCAGTACACTCTGTTCTCAAATTTCAGTGTAAGTGAAAAGCAAGTGTGTTGGAATGCAGATTTCCAGGCCCCGCCCTGAGATGCCAATTCAGTCGGTTGGGAGGCCAGGAACATGCATTTTATAGAGCACCACGGTGGTCTCGGGACCACCCTTGGAGAAACATCCCATGATATACATAGACATTAGTGTCTAGACTCAGGAGGACCCTTAATTTAGTCACTACACTCCAGAGGTAGATGTTTTAGTGTTAATGCATTTTTTCAGGCATTATTTTACAAACTGCATTCCCACGTAAAAGTCCAAATGCCTTAACTATGGTGGTGGCCACTCACAATCACTGTGTATACTGACACTTCCGCTGTGCTGGTTATGTAAGAATCAGTCCTTGGATACGCGTGATTTTCTGGCAACGTATGCACTTACATGTAGTTGTAGGCTCCTCACTGGTACTCAGTATTCACAAGGTATGAGGCGTAGGTTCATACAAACCCCTCTTGGAGGCCAGGTGCCCATTTGTGAGAGCTTTTACTTATTTTTTGAAATTGGAATGTGTCATTTTATTAGACAGCAGTTGTGTGTCATTGTTAAAATTCCTCATCGTAGCTCTACACTGGATAAGACTTTGTTCCTAGTTTTTAAAGGTTAAGTTTTTATGGTTTCAAATGGTTCAGGAAAAAAATACATCGTATTCTCTCACACATGTGTGCAGAAATGTGGCAAAAGTTAACTACTGGTGAATCTAGGTAAACAGTACAGAGGTTCATTGTACTATTCTTGTAACTTTTTCTAATTTTTATTTTTTTATTGAGGTGTACAATTATAATGTTTCAGATGTGCAGCTAAGTGATTCAGTTATACATACCTATTTGTATTCTTTTTCAGATTCTTTTTCATTTTATTATAAGATACTGAGTACAGTAGTGTGGATCTGTTAATCCCAAATTCCAAATTTATCCCTCTCCCACTTTCTTCTTTGGTAACCATAAATTTGTTTTCTGTGTCTCTATTTCTGCTTTGTAAATAAGTTCATTCCTATCATTTTTTTTAGATTCCACATATAAGTGATGTAATATATTTGTCTTTCTGTCTTACTTCATTTAGTGTGATAGTCTGTAGGTTCATCCATGTTGTTGCAAATGGCATTAATTTCATTCTTTTTTATGGC